GAGATCTGAAGGGCTCGACACATTCTTTCCTCAAAAAGTCAAAGAACCACTTCACGCCCTGAAGTATTGTTTCAAGCGAGTTTCTCAGTTGAACTTCATTTCGACATCTCCAAAAGAACAACGGTGCAGGTTCAAGGGCGGGAACACCGCGCTATTGAGGGGGACGACAAAAAATAGGCCCAGAGCATCTCAGTCTTCTTTCTAGAATTTCCCGAGATATCTTTTTGGTGTTGTCGCAGTTGGTAAGACGTAGCTCATTTGAGACAAAATCTGTTTACTTCACTCGAAGGGTAGTCTTTAGCCAGAAATAGTCAAACATCATTCAACATTTACATTCAACGAGCAGAGCCCAATATCCACAACCATGGAGGATTGACCGGACGGATGTACAGTTCGCTCGAGTCCTCATGACGATTAAGATGTCGCGTGTCTTCCATCGACATTTTCTGAAGATTTTGCAAATCTTGCGGACTGCATTGATTTGGGAGATAATGCCGATCTTACTATGAGTTATTTGAAACTATCTTCTGTCAGTTGATAGTCAGGAGTTCTAAATTGTGCCTCCTCCCGGTCAAGGGTATTGCCTGGAAATCCTTGGTCTTCTCTAATTTTAGTGTTTTTGGACAGCAAGATGAGTCGATCCATTGCCATTAAGCTATTTGCAGAACCTCTTATCGCCTAGAATGTATTCCATCTAACTGGCCCCACAATCATGGGCTGTGTGCCAAGTTAATAGATGTTTGTGATGATGTTAGTATCACGTGCTGGTAGCAAGTAGTCAGTTCTGATAAACGAAGCTTAGTCCGTACGCTTAAAAAGGCAAGTAAATCACAGGGTCACGAAATCAAAATCCTACTCACGAAAATATGTATTTTTACACTTTTCTTATGTAAAACACCCGATTGACTCATCGGCCCTTGCTTAGTGGACTTTGCACTGTCCATCATCATAACTCGACAGTCAAGCTTTAAATCCAAGCTATTTCAGCTATCGCTCCGCCCATCGGGGCGTGGTTTGTGGGATCAAATTTAAAATCAACAAAAATGTTATAGTAGTTGGTCAAGATTTATGGTTAGAACTCTTATCAGTCATCGTCCAGTGTAACTAAATACAATATTTTAATGTCGTATCTGTTAGTGTTAGAGGTCGTCTATTCTTATGCACTTTCACGCAACAACATCTTTTGATGTTTCATTCGTCTGTTCATGTTAGTCCGCGGTGTTTGTTTTCTATCTAGCTCTGGCAGACATGGGCAGACTGGATCCACAGTTCCTGAGCACATGTGTGACAAAGAGCATGTTATTTATTGTTGAGGCTCTCTTCCGACCACATCTTACCCTTTGTTGCTTTATTTCATCAATCACGCTTTCGCTCTTAGCCGTAATGCTCAGTGCTAATTTCTGAGCACAAAGTCCTAGTAGGGATTGACACTCAGACTTAGTCGCAAATGCCCACAGCAGCGGTCTCAGTTAGTAACCCTTCACATCATTTCAGATTTCGGTGGCCTGACCAACTTTAAAGGCTTCTCCCATGATCGAGCCACCAGAAAGACTGGAGAGGAAGAAGAGGCTGCTGGCCTTCTATGAACTCCAAGGTCCGGTGGGAACCGCAGAAGAGGACCAACCGCCAGAGGTCATCAAGGATGACTTTAATCCAACTAACATTGACTCCTCCACGTTTGACTGTCAGGCCTATTTTACTAAGCTTCTGCAGCATTGTGACCTGAATGACCTGATGACGAAGGAAGTCG